AGTAAGAGTCCAATACAGTTACCAAATAATGAATGGTAGGGAGTTAAAAGGTCCTCTTAGGATCAAATTATTTTAGTTATGAATAAAAAGTAATTCAATATTAAAGGTTCCTTGACGAAAAGCTTGGTAACTTGCTGATAACTTGCAAGATCATACCACTGATGTTCAAATATAGTTTATAAGCAATTCCACTGGCATATATTGAATTGCCCACCCCTATGCCAATTTGTGAAAACCTGTCTTTACCACAGTTGGCTATCATGAGTAATGATGTAGTACTGAATAAAAAATAGAATATTTTTACTAATATCCCTAAAAAATAATAAACACCGTAACAGTTTTTGCTGCAGCTTTCTATTTTCTTTATAAAGAATAGTATTATTCTTTATAAAGAATATTTCCTGTAGCTTTCCCGTGCTACAGAAAAACATGAACTACATTTTATCATTACAATATAGCCATTATAAAACTAATTTTGCAGCCTCAGTTACTGAACTCTGATCAAGACAAATGTTCAGAGAAATACTCCACTTTTTAAAGATTCCATTCATTAATGGCCTAAGAAATGTATAATTAACATCATTTAGTCAGACTGTTAGTACTTTTGATGTAATGATATACTTAGCAAAGAGAAGAATAAGAAGCTTAATACTGTAAAGGTTTTTGTTTTTGTTTGGTTTCTTCAAAAATTATTTCTACAAATTTGGGGGGAGATTCTGAATGCATTCAAGTTAATAGTATTTCAATCTCTCTTGAGTTCTTCCTTATGAATTAAAAGAATCCAAGATTAAAGTTGAAATTCTTAAAAAAAACTAATCAACAATTTTGTAATATGTCATCAAAGAAGTGTTATTTCACGTATACTAATTCAGTCCAAATGATCAACATCATTAAAATTTATAATTTAGTTGTGGAGAAAGATCATCTTGACCTCTCCATGAACCAGCTGGTATATAAAAATTTTTATCACTGTATTTTTTTCAATGTGATCTTTTTTACCATCTTCCTTCTGTCACAAAATAAAAGTTCTATTTTCTATGTATTAAATATATACATGTATTTAGAAAAATATATAAAAACAGGACAGTTAAGAGCTAAGTGAAGGTGTGGCCTGGCATTAATGGGCACACAGAATGCTTTAAGAAATTCCACATATTGATTTTGAAAGCATGTCAGGTTCTGCTTTAATGGCTGCCGAGATGTCACACCAACGTGGCAGAATCACCCACGTACGGGTTACTGCTTCCCAAATCTTCCATACTGTGAATGTGAATGGAAACACTATAGTAAAGTACTCAAAATAAATGCAACACTTTAAATATAATATATCACATATTTTTACATTAAATAGCAGAAAAACAATTATACTCTCATTCACCAGTGTCTCACTTTCCGTGGCAACTTTAGAATAGGCACAGATCCCCCCTGCTTTCCATTTCGACTTTTAAATGAGAAAAAAGGTTGGAACAATAAACAATGTACAATCTGTTGCTTGTTGTATATACTGTGAGTGTTTGAGAAAGAAAGTGGAAAGGGCTCCTAGTGCTCATCCAGGTGCTACGGTCAAACGTTTGAGTCTTCATCAGTAATGCTGGCACTGGGGGAACGGGCAGCGAAATCTTTAAACATGTCGTCTTCCTTTAACATGTGCTGGAAAACAAGGAGATGGGAGTCACACACACACTGTGCGCCAAGAGCTCAGAACTACACATTCTCCACGATCCATTTGGTCCCTTGGGGTTATATTTTCAAACATATTTTTAGAAGATTTCAAATTCATTTTACAAACTTACTGTTAGGTTGTTGATGCCTTCAGAGAATGCACCTATCTGCCTCACTGTCCCTTCTGAATCTTCCATCTGCAAAGAACATACCATAACGTGACATACTCATTTGCACAATTTCAAGCCAAGTGCAGCAAAATGAACAAAAGAAGAAATAATGCAAGTTGTACTGAATAGAGCAGGAGCAACAGAACACTTCTGATGATAAGCTCCTCCCACTACTGCAATTGGATGTTAAAAATTAGAAGGAACCCTTTATTGGCACATCTAGCCTAATGCTCTGATGTTGACAATAGCACCGAAGGATGTTTGAATAAAGGGCAATATTCAGTCCCATGACTTCATACTGAAAAAGCTAAGTAGGATGCGCTGTCCATTCCTGAGTTGTTTTAATACGTAGATTTCCTTAATACAGAGACAGTATAACATCGGTTAAGTGGCACAGACTTTGACAAATTGGAATCCCAGCTCTTCTAGCTTAGGTAAGGTACTTAATCTCTCTGTGCCTCAGTGTCCTTATCTCTAAAATTAGGATAATAATTCTCCCTATGTTTTAGGATTGACATGAACATTAATATATGTTAAGTGCTTACAATAGTGCCTGGGGTATAGTAAACAATTTGTAAGTTCATTATTACTTTATTATTCGCTATTATTATCTTTATTTTTTGGCATTTGAAGAAAATGTCTGTGATCAGTAGACCCAGTACAGTGTTTCAATGCTGGAAGAACTTTAAAGTAGGTATACAATGCTGCATTTACCTGATCTAACCGGTCCAAATCATCTTCGTCATAGAGGTGCATGTCCAACCCAGGTTTAAATCCTTTCTTAGATGTGTTTCCTGATGCCTGTCCCAACTCCATTGGACAAACATATTCTTCCCCATCTTCTTGTTTCTTTTTTCTCAAATTCCCAAAATTGCTGAAGGTAAGTTTCTTTGGCTTTAAAAGAAAGAAACGAAAAACATCCAGGGATGTGATAAAATTCATATGATAAAGAACTAATAACATGTATAATTTAATTATTCACTTCATTGTATAGAGAAAAGCAATTGAATGATTAAATTTGTATAACAAAAACAAAGACATTCTAGGCATATGATTGATGCACCCAAATATGATAAATAATCCTTGTCATGAATCTCATTATTTGCACTAACTAGCTGGGTAGTCATAATGATAAAAGCAAAGTATGCCAGGAGCCTTAGTTTTGATTAAACAGGACTTAATGCAATGGGATTTCTCAGGGCTAAATCCAATTTTGCAAGATTTTCCAATCTAAGATCAGCAAAAAAAAAAAATGGTCCTTACTGTGTTTTCTTTTTGGGTGAGGCTGTGATATCTTGTATGCCTGTTATGCTTCCAAGGGACTGCTAAAAGAATCTGTCCTTTTGGAGAAAAAATTTCCAGTGATACTCAGAAGAGAATCACCATCTTAGTCACTGGATAGTCCCTGAGACCATCTGTTAAGGAGATGGTGATCAGGTTGATGCAGAGAATTTATACAGAACAGACTCTCTCAGAGGTTTCAAATCTGGCATCTTCTAAGGGACAAAGGTAGTGAAGCGAAAGTGTCAGGCAGGTAGAGGGGGAAACAAAACAAAACAAAAAAACTTGGTACATATTTGTGAAGAGGTGGGTAAACCCTATTTCCACATTAAGTTGGTTGAAATAACACTCAGGAGAGTTAACATAAGAATAATTTAAAAGAAGAAATATTCTTAATTTGCTATGATCTATGAATCCATGCACACTAGGAATATCCATTCTCTGCTGGTCGACCTCAAACGTTGCTTAATATCTTTTCCCAACTTGAAAGGTTGGTCGATTATAAGCCAGACAAGCTGAATTTGTACGAGGAGAAATGCAACTCTTATACTTGATTTATCCATAGGAAAAACAGGACAACTGCAATCAATATTTGGGTCCAAGTTATAGGTTCTCTGCATTGGCAATGTATCGATTATAGAAGCCAACATCATGCTTTTTATTATTGGTAACTCTAGTAAAATAAATAATTTGAGCAAAGATTCCTCCAGAAGGAAACCTTCAAAATGCATTTTTCTTGGTTACTTTTAATGATGCATATACTTTCAACTTATCCACAAAACTTAGTAAATCCCGGAAAATGGGATAGCCAGGTAACGGTCAAAACCAAGTCTTTGCTTTAGTTTTTGCTTTAACCAATTATTAAATGGTACAGGCTTGAACCAACCTTCACTTTGGCAGTGGCTGTTAGAAGTACATAATCTGGTAACTCCATGGCATCACGTTTCTGGTGTTGTGCCTCAGCACCAATCAGAAGGTTGAAATGAGTGGCCAAATGTCTTCGCAACAGGGTCTTACTTGGTGGGATGTTCAATAACTGAGCCATTGTTTCTACATTAAAACGAGGTTCTAGAACCTATAAGAAAAATTAAGGTTATTGAAGGTACCATGTATCATATATGTCTGCATCGTGCTTTATGATTTGCAAAGCTCTTTCATTTAGTTATCTCCAATGACCCTCTCAATAGCCCTGGGAGATACACAGATATGGACTTTGATATTTAATTTCTGTATCTTTTTTTTTTTATTTTGCCAAAGCTAGTGAAAGGCAGAGCTGGTCCTGATATCCAAGCATTACAAAGTCAGGGCTTCTACCTCTCTGAAGTGTTGCATTTGGGATGCCTTTGAAAGCCAACTTCTCTGCAACATCTGTGTGCAGAAATACAACCTGTATCTTTGTAGGAGTTTTAAAACATGATCACCTGAGAGTCAGTAGCCAGATGTTATCCAACATAAAAGAGGACAATGAAAGAAATGGGTTTAAACCAAACCTAGAGTTATATGATTTGAATAAATAAAAAAACAAGGGAAAAATTACTCTGAAAGTAAAGATTCACTAGAAATAGCATAGGAGGGTTGGGTAAGGTAACTTTAGGATTACAACAAGTAACCTGATAATATCCTACTCATCTGACTAAAGAAGACAAAATGATGATAAGTCAATTTTAAATTAAAATGGAGTTTTACCATGAGCCCACCGTGGACACCGCTGCCTCTGAGATTGGGGGCATATTCTGCCAAGTCTACAGAACGCAGCCATTCCATGACTCGATGATTAGTCCACTGCTGAACCTCTGATGGGGTGATGCTATTCTGTGGGAACAAAGAACAGCTGAGAGCTTTAGTCGTTGACTAGGGGACCTCAAATATTAAACCTGCATGTTCTATCTAAAAAGTCTACCCCACGGAGCAGAGTTACTCCACATCCTACTAAATGTTTACAAAAAGGGTAAGAAGCTGTTTTTTAATTTGAATTCTCTTTGAAAAAGTTTATCACCAAGTTTTAGGCTTTTTTACACACTATTAAAGCAGTACTTTAGGAAAGGAAGTCTTTATAGATATATTTAACTTTCTGGCTTAAGCAGGCAAGAAAATAAAATATACTTAAGGAGGAAGGGTAATTAAATAGCAACCTCTGGCTCCAGTTACACAGGTAGAACCATCATAGGGGGAAAGAAAGGAATATAGGAGAACAAAGCCTAGAAAGTAAATGAGGCTGGATTTGAGGCTCTAGGGGAGTCAGAAATCCTCCCTGCAAGCTCCAAGAAGAAATGGGTCTTAGTTTTGCACACACGGACAGTCCCATGCATGGAGAAGTACATGCTGTGTAATCCTCAACTTCAGACGCTACCTCGTCAGATGGCCGCCTCCGTAGACAGTTTGGTTCAAAGTTATTGATCCTCAGGACCTGGATGGCCCTTTTGATGCTGAGATGATGCAGCACACTGACAACCTTCAAAGATAGTAAGTCATCCTGCAAAAAAACAAAAACAAAAATGGGAGCTCCTTGAGTGGGAGGACCTCCTCAGGGATCTCTCAGAAGATGCTAGTCGAAGCAGAAGAGTCACCTTTACCAGCAGGCCTGAGGGCTTGTCAGTGTTTTCAAAGCTTTTATTTAGTAGCGGGACCCTTTTCCTGTTCTATTCAAAATCCTCTCCAGGACCCCCATATGTAAGAAAACCAAAATGAATGTTGTTCCAGTAGAGGCTAGCTTCCATCTATTTCTCTCTCTTCCAGACATGCTGAGATAGGATTCTGGGACCCCAAGACTCTTACAACACCATTTGAAAAGCACTTTCTGGGTCCCTAACAAAAGGTGATTTGCTTTCACAAAGCAAATAGCTAAGGGCAAGTGGTGGTCATTGACGGCTGAGGCTTGATTTTCTGAGCTAAGACATATCACAGGGGGAAAACTGGAAGAGTGGTTCCAATATAC